CTTTGGAGTATTCGGAGATGGAACCCGTCTTGCAATACTGAAGATAATCTACGCGTCGGACTCATTGTCATTGAAGCCTGGTTCAGGGGCTACTGAGGGAGTCCTGGATTAGGGGGTATCCGGATAGCCGGACTATATACTTTGGCCGGACTGTTGGACCGTGAAGATACAAGACTCAAGACTTCGTCCCGTGTCCGGATGGGACTCTCCTTTGCATGTAAGACAAGCTTGGCGATCCGCGTGTTAGATCTCCTTCTTTGTAACCGACTCTGTGTAAACCCTAGCCCCCTCCGGTGTCTATATAAACCGAAGGGTTTAGTCCGTAGGAGGGCAATCATAATCATAATCATCATAGGCTAGCTTCTAGGGTTTAGCCTCTACGATCTCGTGGTAGATCAACTCTTGTAATACTCATATCATCAAGATCAATCAAGCAGGAAGTAGGGTTTTACCTCCATCGAGAGGGCCCAAACCTGGGTAAAACATTGTGTCCCTTGCCTCCTGTTACCATTAGCCTTAGACGCACAGATCGGGACCCCCTACCCGAGATCCGCCAGTTTTGACACCGACACCTGCCCCCGTATATAAAGGAGGGGGGAGGAGGCCGGCCACCATGGGGCACGCCATGGAGGGGGAGTCCTACTAGGACTCCAAACCAAGTAGGATTCGCCTCCCCCCACTTTTTCCTTTTTTAGGAGTAGCAAAGGGGGAAAGGAGAGGGAGTAGGAGAAGGAAAGGGGAGGGGGGCACCCCTACCCCTTGTCCAATTCGGATTGGCAAGGGGGGGGCTCCACCTCCTATGGCAGCCCTGTGTCCTCCACTAAGGCCCATGTAGGCCCATTACTCTCCCGGGGGGTTCCGGTAACCTCCCGGTACTCCGAAACTTATCTGAAACTTCCTGAAACCTTTCCGATGTCCGAATGTAACCTTCCAATATATAAATATTTACCTCTCGACCATTTTGAGACTCCTCGTCATGTCCGTGATCTCATCCGGGACTCCAAACAAACTTCGGTCACCAAAACACATAACTCATAATACAAATCGTCATCAAACGTTAAGCGTGCGGACCCTACGGGTTCGAGAACTATGTAGACATGATCGAGACACATCTCCGATCAATAACCAATAGCGGAACCTAGATGCTCATATTGGTTCCTACATATTCTACGAAGATCTTTATCGGTCAAACCGCACAACAACATACGTTGTTCCCTTTGTCATCGGTATGTTACTTGCCCGAGATTCGATCGTTGTATCATCATACCTAGTTCAATCTCATTACCGGGAAGTCTCTTTACTTGTTCCATAGTGCATCATCCCGTAACTAACTCATTAGTCACATTGATTGCAAGGCTTCATATGATGTGCATTATCGAGACGGCCCAGAGATCCCTCTCCGATACATGGAGTGACAAATCCTAATCTCGATCTATGCCAACCCAACAAACACCTTCGGAGACACCTGTAGAGCATCTTTATAATAACCCATTTACATTGTGACGTTTTATAGCACACAAGGTGTTCCTCGGGTATTCAGGATTTGCATAATCTCATAGTCAGAGGAACATGTATAAGTCATGAAGAAAGCAATAGCAATAAAATTTAACAATCATTATGCCAAGCTAAGGGATGGGTCTTGTCCATCACATCATTCTCTAATGATGTGACCCCGTTCATCAAATGACAACACATGCCTATGGTCAGGAAACATAACCATCTTTGATCAACAAGCTAGTCTAGTAGAGGCATACTAGGGACACGTAGTTTTGTCTATGTATTCACACATCTATCAAGTTTCCGGTTAATACAATTATAGCATGAATAATAAACATTTATCATGATATAAGGAAATATAAAATAACAACTTTATTATTGCCTCTAGGGCATATTTCCTTCAGAATGCACCAGCCACAAGGGGCTGGTGCGCTCCCCATAGCAGGCCGGCCTAGGAGGAGAAGGAAAGAGGGGAAGGGAAAGGAAAGTGTGGAGTAAGACTCCCCCTTCCTTCCCCCCTCCTCGCCCCCCCTTGATTATATATGGCAGGGGGAGCGCGGCTTGGGAGGGATTCCAAGTAGGATTCCTCCTACTTGGGCACGTTCTATGGCTGCTCCTCCCTCCCTCCCACCTATATATATGTGGGAAGGGGGCGCCTAGCATATACAAGACAATTGCCTAGCCATGTGCAGCGCCCGCCTCCACCGCTTACACCCCAGTCATATTTTCGTAGTGCTTAGGCGAAGCACTGCGGAGATAACTTCACAATCACCGTCACCACATCGTCGTGCTGCTGGAACTCATCTCTACCTTGCCGTCTTGCTGGATCAATAAGGCAGATGACGTCACCGAGCTGAACGTGTGCAGAACGCAGAGATGCCGTACGTTCGGTACTTGATTGGTTGGAGCGTGAAGAAGTTCGACTACATCAACCGCGTTGTTAAACGCTTCCGCTTACGGTCTATGAGGGTACGTAGACACACTCTCTCCCTCTCGTTGATATGCATCTCCTTGATAAATCTTGCGTGTGTGTAGAACTTTTTTGTTTTCCATGCAACGTTTCCCAACAACGACTACGAGCAGATATTGGCCGAGATGCATGATGTTGCTTTCTTCAAAGCGTTTGGCTTTCGTCCGGATCCGGATAGCTCAGACTCTGACGATGCATGATGAAGCGCTGCTAGCCTCAGAGGAGGCGGCTGTACGCTGATGCATGATGCTGATACTACTTGAAGACCAACTTGTATCTAAATAATAAGCTCCACTGAGGTAAGTCATCTAGAGCTGGGCAGAGGGTGGTTGCAAGCGTCCGGATCTGGTTGTGAGTAAGGTTGGGAAAGGTTGGGAAGTGGCCGACATCAGCATGGTGGGAATTAGGGTTTAGGGGGAGGATCCGAGATTAGCAGGGAAAAAGTCCCGCCTTCCCCCGTGCAGTCCCCCCGCGAGCGGCTCAGGCGGCAGCACTAGTTCCTGCCACGGGCTTCCTCCCCTACCTCACCCCACCTCTACCACCGGCTAGTGTCGCCGGGCGAAGCCCTTCGCGGTGGCTTGCGGCGGGGGATCTCTCCTCCTTGTCTTGGATCTGGTGGGCGCGGGGCTCCCTCCCTAGACGATGGCGTCGGGCGTGCACAGGGTCCGGCGGCATGGCAGCGCTCTCTCTGGTCGGTGGCGTGTTGTGGTGCGACCGTGATGGGCGGGTGCTTGGCCGCGCGGTGGCTGTGCTCTTCGGTGGCGATTGGGGTTCGGCTTTGGACCTCCGGCGGCAGCGGGTGGTGTCTTCCTTCCTCGTCGCAGGTTTGCGGCGGTGTACCTCGGGCAATGGTGGTTCCGTTAGCGGCGTTGCTCTAGATGGTGGGGAGGCGGCGGCGTAGCCACTTGGTTGTGGGCTCTGACGCGGCGACAAGCGACGACACCCTCCTGGCCCAGATCTTGGCCCTTTTGGGCCCATCTGGGTGTAGGCGGGACTGGCCAGTGGCTCCGGCAGACGGAGAGGTGACTCGTGTGGGGGGTTGCGGAGACGGAGGCACGCACATTGCAGTGCCGCGACGGGAGCTTCACGAACCCTTTCAAGCTCGACCGGGCTATGGGCCTGGTGTGCTCCCCTTGTTGCGTCCGACCGGTGACCGTCATGGGCGGTGGAGGTTGTCCCGTCCCACGTGACTAATGATTCTGCAGCTCCTCGTTCCTGGTTGTCTCCTCTCGGCCTTGTCGGTTTCGCTTCGCCTGCTTTGTTCGTCTGTGACGGCTTCGTCGGACGGAGGTGCGGCTTGTGTGCGGGGTTGCGGAGATGGCGGCGCGCACACTGCAGCATGGTGGCGAGAGCTTCATGAGCCCTTTCAGGCTCGGCTGGCCCGTGGGCCTGGTGTACTCTTCTTGCTGTGTTCGGCCGGTGACTGCCAAGGGTGGTGGAGGTTGTCCCCTCCCGCGTGGCTGCTGATTCTGCTGCTCCTTGTTCCCGGCTATCCCCTCTCGATTCCGTCGGTCTTGCCTCTCCTTACATGGTGAGACGCCGATGGTGATTCAAAGGCCGTGGTGGCACATATTGGTGGGCGACACGATTGGTGGTGTGCGACGGATCGGTCGGGGCTGTGGTTGTTTGGCGGGCGGGAGAAATCCATGTTGGCTTGGCCGGCACCGATGCCGTGATGCCTGCGGGCGCCATCATTCCTTCCTGAAGGGCGTCGGGTATGCCCCCTCCACATGCCCCTCTACGTACCGGGGGAAATCCTAGGACCTGTCCGGGCAGCACCGTCGGCGTCGTCGAGTTCCTTCCCGGAGGTGTTGCTTGGTATGCGGCGGTCCGAAGTGCTAGGACCTAGGAGGGTGGTGGAAATTCTCCGACAGGCGCAACGGTTGCGGGCCATCATCCTTTTCGTTGATCCGACTCTGTTATCATTATTTTCTTTTTCTTTCTCAGTTATTTCTTTTGGGCGTGCTTGTGCTGACTACCCCAGCAATGGACTATCAGCTTTATCGGATGGTTGCTATATCTATATAGCGGGGCGAAAGCCTATTCCGAGAGTAAGTCATCTAGCGCTATTTGTGGTTGATGGTGAGATTGGCGGGCATGTTTCGGCAACGGAAGCCATCCTCCCGCAATCTCCAATGTTTCAAATCTACTCCCAAAAATTGTTGTAGGTGTGACCAGCAGGAGAATGAGCTCCATTTATTTTTCCTCTGTGATTTTGCTCGAGTAGCTTGGTTTTCTTCTCCTTGGTTTATTAGATTGGATGTGTTAGTTCAAGGCCATTCCACCATGCATTCTATTCTCATTGCCTTACTTTGTATGGGGCATCCTTATGGTTCTATCTCTAATATTCTCAATTTTTTTGTGGTGTCTCTAGAAGGCGGGAAATGATTTCCTCTTTGACAAGCAAAAGGCTCTCCCTCGTCATGTGTATATTGCCGCCTTGGCCTTGTCATCAGATTCTTATGTTGATTTGCCCAATTTATCCAAGAAGCAGAGAGATCCACAAGCACAACTTTCTCATAATCAGCTTCCTATGCAGGGGCGAACGCTTAAGTCGGATTTGCTTATTTCAGGTCCAAAAGTATATTCTGACGCAGCTTTCAGAAGTATGAAAATTCCAGGTTTATTGCAAGGAGATGTTGCTACAGGAGTGGGCGTCTATATTTCTTTGCCACTTAATCAGCTAGAAATCAATGTGCAAATTCAAGCTTCAGCTCCTCCTACTTCTACTCCTCTGCATGCAGAAGCTTTAGCTCTTTCTTTTGCTGCTAAAGTGGCTCAAAAGCTCAATATTATTCAGCCAGCCTTTCTTATGGATTGTTTATCTTTAGCGCTGGTCGCTGCTTCTCGTAAGATACAAGAATCTACCACCCCTTGGAGCATTAGGAAGTCTTTGGCTAATTTCTTCAAGTGTACTACTAATTTGCATCCACGTGTGTTTCACATCTCTAGGGAAGTTAATGGAATAGCTCATAATCTTGCGCAACAGGTCTTTCGTTCGAATGATGAATCTCAAATCTGTTGTTTTGCTTCTGCTCATAGGCATACCTCCTGTCCTGTGGTGTCTCTTCTTTCTAATTTTAAGGTGCAGAAATTTAGGATCCATGCTGTACATTGCTACTAAGCATGTTTGCAGGAATGCAGGGGTGCTTGCCAAGCTCTTGCAAGTGGGCCTCAAGTTTATGCTCCTTCTTGTTTCTACTATTTGGTCTGGTAATTCTTGGCTGATTTGGTTTCTTAGGGAGGAGCATGGAGCAACCAGTTGTTGCTTCCAATGGCAGCGGCAACATCTTCAGTCTGGGCTGTGGCAACTTCAACTTTGCAAGCTTCTTCTCCATCTCTTTCCTTTGACACCTTGTAGTCTGTTGTTCATGTATTAGTTTCAAAGTTTTCTTAAGGGTCGGTAGCTCTCCAGGTTATTGCTCTGTATAACCTGTCTTTACGGCTCTTTCTTCAGCTCATACGCATTGGCTGTGCTCTTCTTCTCTTACTTGCTTCTTCAGGCCATTGTAATACCTGCTGTATTTCGCATTTGAGCTGGATGATGAAATTGGCACCGGTTGGTGCCTTTCCTTGTTCACAAAAAAAAATCTACTCCCACGTCATGTGTGTACACTTGCACGCCATGCAACGGTACACGCCGGCGTAAATTAGGTGAGATCTGTAGCATGCACGTCGCAGCCAGCACACTGGTCATGGGTGCACGCGTGCATGCATGCATGCAGCTCATGGCGGCACTGGCGCTTCGTCTTTGACTTCAGACGAGCAGCATGGAGACGGCCGGCGGGTGGGATGGTCAACGATGGAGCTAGCAGGCCCGAATGCCCAATCCCATCTTCTGGCGTACGTCGTCGGCGCCGTTTGTGGGTTGACTTCAAATTAGTTTTCAGTCAACGCGACGGAACTGCATGCATGCCCTTTCCCCGCTCACTGGCTCCACATGCTCGTCGTTGTAGCAACTCAGAGGAAGAAGATACCGTGTGGATTACCGGCAGCTGAAAACAAGATGTTACTGCACGGTGTACACAAGGAGACATCGAGACGAAGGAGACTGCAGACCGTCTACAAGGGTGGAATCGGCTATAGAGGGAGTCGAGACAAAGGCTGGCGTCACGTTCGCGAAGGCGATCGGAACGCAGTCCGTGCGACCACTTGCCGGAGAGCGACCTTCTACAGTGCACCACGTGGTTGTGCGGTCGGCAGCCAGCGTTGGCTATATAAGGCAGCACCGCGTCCGGCGGCCGTGCTTATCGTCGACGTGCGGCCCGTCGGTCGGTCGCCGGTACCGCCCAGGCCAGGGCAATCTGCAGGGCTCACCACTTGTGTTTTGTACACATTTTCGGTGTCGAAGTTCTCTTGACTGCATGTGCACTAATTTCTGTCACCGCTCCTATAGCTACATACATATACGGAGAAATACACTGCTTATCCGCACGTCTCGCAGTCTGTATACACAGTGATCCGCACGAGTCACAGTCTAATCGTATCTTTATATAGTGCCGATGAGCATGACGTGCTTGGCTCATTGTCACTGCTCTTGCAAGTTGCACGACATATAGCCAACTCAAGGACGATAAGTCCATGTATGACAGCGCTGCGCCTTAATTTCTCCCATGGACCGGAGGTGCAGTCAGATCACCGAGACGGGCGGAGTACATTGAACCTGGGAGTACACTGCTCGATCGGGACAGCATCCATAACAGCGGGACGACGGGGTCTCTAGCAAGTGATACGATGTTACGGCTAGCTACCAAGCCAAGGATGAACAAAATGCTGGCAGCTCTAGCCAGAGATGCCATGTCACAATTAATTCCTGTGTTGTGCAAACAGAAGCTAGCTAGTACTAGGAGCCTAGTAAGCATGGTCTAAAGTCTAAACAGGAGCTACTAGATATCCAACACCACGGGACCTCAAATTTTAGCCATGTAGCTCAAACGCCGCGGAATGTCTAGTATAGACCATGACCACATACATGGAGATCATAGGCAGCAGTGACCCACGTTCGTACGTATCCAATAGGCCATGCCCAACACGACGGGACCTCAACGCATGCATGTCTAGCTAGTAGGCCACGACCGGACATTCTTATCATGCACAACAAAAAACAACACATCATTTATTATTGGGCTCAGCAAATTGTCTAGTTAACATGCATGATCGGTGATAGGTGGTGCTTGTTCGACCAAGTCCTAGCTAGCGTAGGCTTGGCACCGATATAACAGTATTGGGTTCACAAGTGGCTTGTGGGTCGAGCACTGGCTTGTTCACAACTGTAAGGGATGCTCAACAATGGACTAAGCTGTGGCATATAAGAGTTCCATCAAAAGTTCGTGTGATATTGTGGAGCCAAGCTAAATTGTCCCTCCCGTAAGGGGGTGTCCTTCAACACGGATATATGGCTTCGTCGATGATGGATACCGAAGTACCGAGAAGGCCTGGAGAAGTATCTCTCCATCGTCAAAGAAGCAGATCTGAGTCTTAAAGTATTGAGTCCCTAAGCATACACTTTTTATGTACTAGAAAATTATTGTTATAATCTCCCTATTATAGGGAGCATCGACCCCAAAGTAACAGGTCCGGCATGAAGGGACACGACATTCTCATGGTCTAAGAAAGCGAGTATACACTAGTAGAAAACAGGGCTACCGTTCGGGCCTGGCCAGCCCATTAGTCCCGGTTCTTCAAGAACCGGGACCCATGGGGGGTATTAGACCCGGTTCGTGAGCCCAGGGGGCCGGCCGGGGCCTCGTGTGCATTGGTCCCGGTTCAAGCCTAGAACCGGGACCAATGGTCCTCGCTCCTGGCCCACAACCATTGGTCCCGGTTCGTGGCTTGAACCGGGACAGAAGGGGTGGCTTTAGTCCCGGTTCATGCCACGAACCGGGACAAATAACTTGCCTATGTATACCCACCGCCGCGGCAGAGCACTCCAGAGTGCTCTGTTTTGTCAAGCCGGCGAGGGAAGGGCATTTGGGTGCTCTAGTTCACCTCCTATGCACATGAGGTGTTCGATAAAATGTTCGAGCCACACTAGTTAAGCTTTCTCCTCTCGAAACTCGACCTCCGAGCTCCATTTTCAATGAGATTTGTCTAGATTTAGCGGTCCGTCACGCCCCGTCCCCGCCCCGTCTTCATCGTCGTCGATCGCCCGCGCCGATCTCGTCGCCGGCACCACCGTGGTGAGCCTCTTGTTCTTATCTTCTTTTCAAAAGAAAAAAATCCTGACTTCAGATAGATACTTGTCTAATTTTCTTACTTTTATTATTCCTTGTTATTATATAGTGCGATGGTTTTGGTATCCGCCCCCGTCGGCCCTCGTCATGTCTATGATTCAGATGTGGTATATATTATCTTTTCATAACTATTTGGTTCATTTATTGTTTATGACAATTATGCCGACCAATGTGACATATATTTTATTTATCTAGGAGGTTGTTGAACCAGAAATTCTAACCGACCCTATTGTCGAGAGGTTAAATTTAGTTGAAGAAGAAAACAATTACTTGAAGGAAAAAATAAGAAAAATTGAGGAGGAGGAGATGATATTGGAGTTGCATGTTGCGGATGTCGTCGATGATCACAAGATCAAGATGGATGCAATGCGGTTGAAGATTAAAAAGATTAGAAAATATGCCATTCATACCGAGGCTTGGTGTCATTATGCAGTTGGATCAGTTGTTACCTTGGTTGCGGTTATGATCGCATTTGTTTTTGCATTGAAATGTTTTACATAATTTCAATGTATGGTTTAATTAGATGATCTCAAGAGCTATATGTTGTTTAATGAGAACTATGTATGTACTTTGGTTTTAATGCTATGGAGAACTATGTATGTACTTTGGTTTCAGAGTCCATTTCAAATGCTTTTCAACTTCACGGTCTTATAGCTTTGAATGGTGCATTTTGAACACAGAAAAACAAGGGGGTTCAAATAAGTTCAAAAAAAATGAAATCCCTTTGTAACAGACGAGTTTCCGTATGAAACCATGATACTTCGAAAGAGATTGTTCGTTTTGTATACGAAGTGCATCCAGTTTTTGCCGTAAGCCTCTCTACTTTCTCGCACATGCTATGTGGGTGAAATGATGATACCATGACAACTTGGAACCTTTTTAGAGTTCATTTCAAATGCTTTTCAATTTCATGGTCTTATAGCTCAAAATAATCAGTAAATGCATGAAAAATAACAAATGAAGTCAGAAAGGGTTGTAAATTGATGATGTGGCTTTGAATGGTGCATTTTGAACACAGAAAAACAAGGTGATTCAAA